AGCACTCAGAGAGGCCTCCCGCCCACCAGGGTCCTGGCCCGGGGAAGGATGGCAGGCCCACCCTCGCCCCGAAGGGAGGCGGAGGGGCAGCCTCTGCTCCCACAGCCCCCACAGGGGGCTTCCATGGACACGCGGAGGCACCGCAGGGGACTGTGTGCCACACAGCAGGGCCCTCTGGGCACGGTTCGGAGGTCAGAAAAAAGCCAGCTCAATTCTTGTTGCTTTGGGGCGCTGTTCTCGCAGCCTCTGTCCATCCCTCACTCAGGCACTGCCTGCCTGGGGCCCTGTGGCTGGGCCCCACAGCAGGGAGCTAGTTTCCAGTTAGAGAGCTTAGAGGGCCTTCCCGCTCAGGGTCCTGTTTCCCCTTTTCTGAGTAGAACTTCCCACTCCCCAAGGCAGGTTTTCTGTTGTTGTTTTTTAATGGTGATCATGGGGCGCCACAGGCTCCTTCTCCCTCCAGAACCCCCGCACAAACTCCAGAGCGTGGGGGAGCACGCGGGCAGGGGCACAGGGCCCGACCCTGCCAGGGGTCATGCCCACACCCCCTCCAGCCTCACCGGGGCCCGAAGTCCTAAGACCGCTGGAGGCGGCCAGCTTGGTGGGGACCCTTACACTGCTGTCAGGGCGAGATGAGGCGTCCCCGGCCCGACTCCCCCTAATGCTCACAGGACACACACGCTGACGCCTGGTACAGCAGTGGCCTGGGACCTGCACGCTGCACCTTGCAGCCGCAGGGTGGTTCCCTGGCCCAGCCTGACCCAGCTCCGGCTCTGCTCAGAGGCAGCCCACCACCTTGGGGGGGTGGGGGGGGGACACGCGGGGAGGGGCGGACAGCGGCAGGGGCACAGGGGTGGCTTCACACCAGCTGGGCTCATCATATGGGGAGGGAACTGACCCACGCGGCAGCTCTGGGCCTGAGCCTCTCAGCGCTTTCTCAGGTGAGCACCCCGGCCGGCCAGTGGCCACAGATGCGTATCCGCACGGACGTAAAACACGGGGTGTCTTAACAGGCTGCCTCAGCGAGCAGAAAGGGACCTAACACAGGGCCCTCCTTGATCACAGAACATTCTCACACAGCCAGGAACTTCGATTCACAATACTGTCAGTGGGCGCTGAAAGTCTGGGGAGTAACAGGACGTTTATCTCAACAAGACACTCACTCACTACGAAAGGAAGAACAGTAACTGCGGTGGAGCACTGGCGACGACCCCTCGCCAAGCGATCACAGGGGCACTGCCAGGACAAGTCGCTGCGAGGAAGCCCAGAAGACAGGCTTCTGCGAGGTTCCTGCCAACGGTGCGGAACCTGAACCCACCCATGAGGCAGCACCGGGCAACCCGGCAGGGGAACATGCCACAACATAACAGCCTGACCTCTTCCAAAAAGTCACCATCAAGAGAGACCAGGAAAGACGGATGAACTGTTCCAGACTGAGAGGGCACACAGGGACTGAAGGCGGAGTCAATGCATAAGCCAAGATATTCCTTTGCTATCGGGACATCATTGCAAGGCTGGGCAAAATCTCAGTGAGGCCCCAACCCGTCCGCTAGCAGCACTGCTCCCTGGTAACCCTGCCCCTGCAAGGCCACGTGCTTCCGCGAGCCACTGTCCTTGTCTTCGGGAAACACGCACTTGGGGTCAACTCGGGGGCAACTGCCTTACTCTTACGTGGTTCTGGAAAAAATCACTGGAGAGGATAAAGGGGACATGAGAAGAGGTCAATAATGGGGACAGTCTGGAAAGTTAAAAATCAATCATTGTCAAATTATACCTCAGTTTTAAAAATGACGGTGGAGGCCAAGGGACAAGATGGAACCATAAAACGACTGACCTTGGAGTTCTAATCCTGAGCCTCCGACTCTGTGGCCTCGGGCAGGTCTCATCAACTATAGCTGAAGGGTGATCATGCTGACCCTTCCTTTCCTAGGGACCAGTGAGCTACGGAATGGGGCAGCATTTTGCAAGAGCTCCGATGCAGCTCATATGAGATACAATTTGCCTGAGGACAATAAAGTCTAAGTTGCCCTGCCCTGGCCGGGTAGCTCAGTTGGTTAGAGCTTCGTCCCCTCTACACCGAAGTTGTGGGTTCAGTCGCCAGTCAGGGCACATACAAGAATCAACTAATGAATGAAAAAAAAAAAAAAAAGTGAAACAACAATCGACGTTTCCCTCCTTTCCTCTCTCTCTCTTTAAAATCAGTCAATAAAAAGAAAACAAAAATAATAAAGTTTAAGCTGCCCTCCTTCTCCAATGAGGAAAAAAGTGTCTTTCTGCAAAGGCCGCTGTGACGGGCCTTGGGAGCCAGCACTTCCCGGGAGCTTGTGTGTGGACTGGATTCTCTCCAGCCTCCTGCTGCACGTGGTTGCAGTCACCTTTATAGATGCTATTTTCACTTAACATTGTATCATACCATTAACAAACACCATGCACAGAGGTCACAGACAGTATTGGCTGCATAACATTTCGGGTGGGGCTGCGGTCTGTAACTTACTGTTCCCTGTTTTGTGGAAATCGGGTTGCTTTCAAATTCTCCCCATGATAACAGTGCCTCGCAAACGCCTTTGCACATATGGCTTTGCATGCATTTTGGATTATCTCCTTAGACTAGGTCTCTATAAATAGGATTACTGGATCAAGGGGTATGAACCAAATACTTTCCACATGGATTATTCTAATTTACATAGCCAAGAATAATGTAGGAAAATACCAGTTTCATTGGCATTTATCACGCTCAAATTCTGCCTTACTATTTTTTCTTAATTTAATGAGAAAATGATACCTCAATGTTTTAACTTGCATTGCTTGAGTACTAGTGGGGCTAACCTTTTTCCCATATATATTTACCAACTTTTACTATTTTGTCTGAATGTGGCCTTTGTCCACTTATCAGGATATTTGTCAGTTTAAAAAAAATCAAATCATAAAAACTCTTTACCAAATAAAGATATCAACCTTTTGTGGTGCCATATTTTAAAATACTTTCTAAGACCAGAAGGTTTGAAGAAGTAGGCTGATTTTCACTTGTCTGAAGCAGTAACAAGGGACGACGGTCTAGCTTACGTCTGAGGACGAGATTTCTCGCGCCAACAGTCACGTGAGTAGCAATCAACTGATTCTCCAAAGGAAGACGGTGGAGAGTCCTCAGCAAGGTTACCACCTATACAGTCTGGGAGGATCTAGATTGATAGATGAAGCTGTTAGGTCTTCCCAATTCTCTTAGTCTAGTAAAATGTGAGCGCTAACTTCTGAAAGGGAATAAATTGCCAAAGTCCCTTCATAACTTGGACACAGGTGTTTTCTTTTCCCTTTTCCTTTTAAGAAGCAGGTGGTGGGTCACATTCAACAAATAATATGAACAATTTGGGTCTTTGTTTATGGCCAGAACGGGACACACAGACTTTCTTAGGAGGCCTTTCCTGAACATCACAGACCTCCCCCCACCCCCGCCCTGAAGTGAACAGAGAGCAAGAACTGCCAACTCCAGTTTCTTAGGAAAGTTGTCTTTTCTATAGGAGCTGCACCTGGTTTATCTTTGTTACTTACAAAACACTGAATTCAATATTTTTAAAAAGGCGGGGGGAGAGAAGAGATTCTTGCAAAGAAAGTCTTGGGTGCCTTCTCAAGTACACACAAACTCTGGTGTACACCCTGCCCACACCCAACCAGCCTGCCGAGGACTGGGTCTTGGAAACGGGGCACGGAGTTCAGGCAGGACGCTCTGGGGCAGGGGCGTGGCGGGGGAGGCAGCCCCGCCTTCTGCAGGTCTCTGCAGCATCCGGGGCACTGTCTGAAAGGCTCGCTTCAAATCTGACTTGAACAGCTGAGAAGCAGGCCATGCAGCTTCCCAGGGACCAGCTGGCCCACATCCAACAGCTCTGAGAAGAGGTCAAGTGACTCTTGCAATCTTGTGACCTCACTGTTGAGACATGCAGGTGACCTGCCTCTACTAAAGTGCTGACTGTCCTCAGGCTTTGGAAGGCACTCAAGCATGTCACAGAGAGGACCTATAATTAGGACAGTATTTGGTGCTCTTATCTGGAGAGGGAGAAGGGGAAATGTGCCCTATGAGATTCCTGCCCCAGCTCAACACAGGACAGCCCCAGGAGAGCTTGAACCTTGAAATTACACCAGGGAGAAGGCACCCATTTCCCTCAGGTGAGGGGACCTGAGGCGAGGCTTCCTCGCAGGGGCGGGGAGGCTTTCGTTCCCCCTGCTCAGATACCCCAGGCAGCTGGTGGCGCTCGTCAAGACTACCCTCTGCAACTGACCTCAGCCTCAGGGTTGCCAAACTCTAGAAAGCTAAGATCACCCACAACACAGACAACTAGAGACAGGCCTGAGGTTTAGAGATGAGCAAAGAGAAAATACAGAAGACAGCCTTCTGTCAACTTCACAGCTGAGGCGCTGCATTTGGCAGAGGGCTGGAGAGAAGGGCAGCAGGGGAGTGGCTGAGTGCACCACCCCCGTGGCGCCGGGTATGGGTGGTGGCATGGGATTGGGAGCGGCCAGGCTTGCCAACCTGGGGCAGCCGCCTAGCTCTTCTCCCCAGCCGGGGATCCAGGTGCTTCTCGCCACGCGCAGTGAAGCAGGGGCCAGAGAACCCAAAGTGGCCTCAGCTCTCCAGGTGCATCCAAGTTACCAGGACCGCGCTCTCGGGGCGAGCTCTGACCCTACTCCCTCCAGGTGTGAGCTGAGGGGTCCAACTCACTGAGGCTCAGGCAGGGGAGGGGTGGGGGGGCAAGCAAAAAGGGGCGCCCCCTGCAGCGATGCTCAGGACAGGTCCACCTCTCAGGCAAGCCTGACATTGGCCCGCTGACCCAGGGCTGCCCTGGGAAGTGAGCAGACACTGTGTGCTGGGCCCCCAGCCAGGGATCCGGCCAAGATGTGGGCACCAGAAGGGCACAAGGGCCACAGGGGTAGCCAACAGGGCCCAAGCAGGGGTGGGGGGCGGGGGTCGTCGCCAGGAAAGTCAGCGCCGCAGCCACCCAGCAGCCACCCACCTGACGATGTGGAAGGCCCAGAGCAGGCGTCCGGCCCGGAGTCCGCGCGTGGCGCGAACGATGCTGAGGTACAGGTAGAGGGCGATGGCCACGGTCCAGAAGAAGGAGCTGGTGTTGGCGAAGGTGGAGAGAGCGCCCTGCAGCACGCAGTCCCACGAGGAGCCCGAGAAGTCCTTCAGCACCCCGTAGAAGTAGGAGGCGGCCGACAGCAGGTCGGCCAGCGACAGGAAGAGCAGCAGGCGCCGCGCTCGGCTGCGCAGGTCCGGCCACAGGGCGTGCGTGGCCACCAGCAAGCCCGAGCCGAGTGCGGAGAGCACGCACGACAGCAGCACCACCGCGCGTTCCGACGGCACCAGCTCGGTGGGCGGCGCGGGCGGCGGCATGGCTGGGCGAGGAGGGGCCCGGCCGGGGCCGAAGAGCGCGAGCGCCGCGAGGACAGGGGCAGGACCGCCAGTGTGGCCGCCGCCGCCGCCACCGACGACTCGCCACCAAGGCGCCCACGCGCCCTCCCCGCCCTGCGAGCCTCGGCCCGTAGTCCTGCCTGGGCTGCTGGACCCGCTCCATGCCCCGCCCACGCCCTCTCGCCACGCCCCTGCGCCCTCCGCGCCTCAGCGCGCCGCAGCCCCCACGTCCCGTCCGCGGCTCCTGGCCCCGCCCTCCCCCTTAGCCCGGCCCTTAGCCCAGCTAAGGACTTCGCAGCACGCCCCTGTGCCCTCTGCGCTTCGTACCCTGGCCCCCACGTCCCGTCCGCGGCTCCTGACCCCGCCCCTGACCCACGCCCCGCCCTTAGCCCCGCCCACGCGCCTCGCGAAAGCTCTTGCGCCACGCCCCTGCGCCCTCACGCTTCAGCTCATCCCCATAGCCCTTACGTCCCGTCCGCTGTCGGGCTTCAGATATTGAGCCGCGTCCTCCCGAGGGGGTACCGCTACACTTGCCAGGTGGCTCGGATGTCTTCCCTGGGGAGATACGGCCTTGCGTTTTCAGGGCTAATATTAACTTGTTTCCTTCCAGCGCGCGCGCGCGCGTGTGTGTGTGTGTTGGGTGGGGGATGGAGGCATCCTAACACTGGTAACAAAAACAACTCTAGTTTTGTGATCCTCCTTCCTTAATCAGTGGTACGGAGCGTTCACAGGGCGGTGGTGGTGATTTCCGGCAGGGGGTGTTGACAATTTTTCTTAGAATGAGCACACTATTTTTGAAAATATAGCCTTATTAGGTGTGATATTTTTAAAGAAACAGTTCCGATTTATTGGTTCTTTTCATAATTTCTTATTTTTATGATACTATTTACGTACCATACCACTCAAACTTGTAAGTGTGCAATTCAGCAGCTTTTATATATTCCCCAATCTGTGTGACCACCATCATTGTCTAATTCCATAACATATTCCTCGGCCCCAAAAGAAACCCAGTTAGTGGTCACTGCCCATTTCTCCCATTCCCCGTTCTTCGTAATAACTAATCTACCTCCTGTGTCTGTGGATTCGCCTATTCCGGACAGTTCCCATAGATGGAATCAGACAGAAGTCTGATTGCCTTCTGTCGCTGATCCCTTTCGCTTATGTTTTCAAGGTTCATCTGCTTTGTAGTGCATATCAGCGCTTCATTCCTTTTGATGGCCAAACCATATTCCCTGGTATGGACAGACCACACTTGTTTTTCTAGCCATCAGTTGATGGACATTTGGGTTCCCGGTTTTTGGCTCTTAAGAATAATCCTGCTGTGAATGTTCATGTACAAGTTTTTGGGCGGATATACGTTTCCCTCTCTTGGAGGGAAATTGCCGAGTCAATGGTTACTCAATGTTTAACTTTGTGTGGCTGCACCATTTCCTATTACTGTAGCAGTGTATTACGATTCCAGCGTCTTCACACTCTCCTAGCACTTCCTTGTCTGCGTTTTGACTCCCAGCATCCTGGTGGGTGTGAAGTGGTGTCTCCTTGTGACTTTGGTTTGCTTCTCTCCAATGAAGATACGAACATCTGGTCTCGTGTTTATTGGCCATTTGCATATCCTCTTTGAAGAAAAGTCCATGCAATTCCCTTGGCTATTTTTTGAGTTTGTCTTTTTGTTACTGAGTTGTAAGAGTTCTTTATAGATTCTGGATACTAGAAACATCAGATTAATTTACAAAATTTTTCTCCCATCCTGTGGGTTATCTTTTCACTTTCTTGATAGTGTCCTTTGCAGCACAGGAGTTTTCATTTTGACGATGTCCACATCACCTGCTTTCTTTCTTTTGCTGCTGTGTTTTTGGTGTCATATCCAAGAAACCATTGCCTAATCGCAAGACTTACACCTGCGTTTTCTTTCTTGTCAGTGCCACATTGTTCTGGTCACTGTAACATTGTAGTAAGTTTTGAAATCCGGGACCAAGTTGTTTTTCTTTTTCAGTATTGTTTTGGCTCCTTGGAGTCCCTTGCAATTCCTATCAGTTTGAGGATCAGCTTTTCTATTTCTGCAATTGAAGGCCGCAGGGATCCAGATAGGGATTGTGTTGAATCTGGAGATAAATTGGGAGAATAATGCCATCTTAATGATGTTAAGTCTTCTTATTCATGTACATAGGATGTCTTCCTACTTAATTAAGTCATCTTTAATTTCTCTCAATGATATTTTGTAGTTTTGGGTATACATTAGATTTGATTTTGCATCTGAGTCATAAAAAGGCAGGTTATCATAGGCATAGATTATCTTTTTGTATCTTTCAAAAATTCATTGTATTATGAAATATGCATACTGCAAAGTGCCTAAAATACAACTGCACAATAAATAATTATAAAGCAAATACCCATCCAGAACAAGTAATATTAATATTACCAGCACACCAGAAACTTCTCCCCAAGCCGCTTTCTTTCTCCCGTCATTTTCTTGCTTTTTTTAACCGTTCATATATGTATTCCTAAACAAAATGGTATAGCTTGCCTGTCCTTGAACTTCATATAAATGGAATCATACTCTTATGTTACATTTTGTGTCTTCTGTTTTTTTCGCTCAACATTATTTTTGTGAGATTCACTCGTGTTCTTGCATGAAGTTGCAGTTCATTCATTTTTATTGCTGTATAGTTTTCCATTATATAAAAAATACATTTATCCACCCTACTGCTTTTGGACATTTGGGTTGTTTCCAGGTTTCAGCTGTTATAAGCCATGCTGGAATGAGCATATATTCTTTCTTAGTCAGGAAAATAGTTACTAAACACAAGCCTCAGCGGTTTGAACAAGTACTTCATGGACTTGGCCCTGCAGAAAGCCGGAGAGCAGCTGCGCCCTTTCCCAGTCACTTTGGGAAGCTGCTGCCCTCCTCCTGAGTGGACCCCGGGCCACAAGCGGACCCTGGCTGTCAGTGAAGCCTCTCAGCTTTTTACTGCTCTGAATAGTTTCAGGCATGGATTGTGCAACCAGCCCTGGGCTTTGGAACACGGCTGGGCAAGAGCCTGGAATGGACTTTCTCCCCAGATCATAGTCATTTAATTTGTAGGGTATTTTGGGGGAGAAAGAGGGACAGAGAGGTCTTCTGGGAAGCCGTGTGGTGGGCAGCTCAATCCGGACTCTATCTCCCCTACTTTACTGCAATGAAAGCCCTTTGTCCACCTCCCCAGGTTAGCGGCCGCCTGTTGTACAGGCAAGTTTGATCAGGTGACGGCTTAGTTTTCTTTGCATTGGAAAACAACATTCAAAGAACATCCCACTGCTAAGGAAAAGAACAGGGAAACATGCGATGATAGAGCCTCAGGTCGCTTAGGTCTGAGCTGGAGGCGAACTCCCCGCAGTCTGAGCGGCTTCTGTTGCCTTGAGGGGCCCCGGCGTGCAGCAGGAGGCAAGCCATCCAGCGTGGCCTCCTCCAAAGGCGGCCGGGACTTCTGACTCCCGGCTTGTCATCAGAGCTCCTGAGCTCTGCTTGTCCTGTCCCAAGGGCTGCCAGTCCTTCAGGGAGGCCCAGACAACGCCAGCAGACCCAGAGAAGCCCGGCTTCGAGCCGCCTCCAACAGTGCCCACCCCACGTGGATCCCATGTGAAATGCGATGTCCTATTAGCTACATTTTTTAAATTTCTGACCTCTTGCCGCCCCCTTTCTTTTGGGGAATTGGTAAGAAACCCAGATGGAGTCTTCTTTCGACGCTGAGTTGTTTCTCTGGCATCCACGCCAAGCCAGCTGGCAATTGTCTCTTGCTCCATGTCCAACGTCCCAAGGGGCCACATCCAAGGTCCTGACACATTGTGACAGCCTCCCTTGCATCCAAGTTATCTGGCTGCAGATCTAGGGCTCAGGCCCAGAGAGGCCCCATAACGGGGGCTGGCGGCCCCAGAGCAGATTGGCTTTGGTTCGCTCTTTCCTCCCACCCCCCGAACCGCTCCCAGGAACTGGCACCAGATTCCCCTCCTCTGACAATTGCAAAAGGGAGTCTCGCAATTGAAGGCGTCCTTAATGATTCTCTGAGCTCAACTCCAACCTGAGCAACAAGCCACGTATGTGATTCTTAATCCTAGGAGAGGGGCTTTCCTCATGTGGTTGGCAGACACAGGGACTGGCCACCTTTCTCATTTCCCTATTTAAAGGTGCGCGTTGCTTCTCTTGCCCCCTCCTACCCCGGCACCACGACGAGCAATGGCGGTGGAAAAGCAGGCCAGCCCCCAGGAGCCTCTCTCCCTACGCCCGCACCTCCAGCAACCCCAGGGGAGGTGGTGCAGCCCCTGGGCAGGCCTGGGTGATCATTGGGCTGCACAGGGGAAAGCCCGGGCCAAGCCTGACCAGCTACATTTCTGAAGTCAGGGGCTCACCTTCAAGGGGCACCCTCCGGTGGGTGTGTTTACCTGTCAGGGAAGCCCTCGGGGTTCCGTGGGGTGTGCATAAGCTCTCCCCGACCCCCGTGAGCCTTTCCCCACCCACCCCAAACTCTGAAGGCTTTGCCCCGCGCGGGCTGTGCCCCGCCCCCGCCTGCAGAAATGCGGGAGGCACAGGTTCCGAGGGGCTCTGCCATGGCATCAGCTCCCGGGGCGGCCACCACACCGCAGTTCCCAGCCCCCCGGGTCAACCAAAGAGAAACTAAGCCACTGAAGGGAAAGGCTGTGTTCCTCTGGGCTTCTACTTGGGGCCCTACTTTGCAGGTATGACCGGCTCAGAGTACACTACGGCCACCAGGAAAGATGCCTTGTTATACAGTGGGAGAGCAGGTTCTAGCCCTGCCTCCCTGTGCCAACCGCACTTGGTGGGCAGAAGGCTAACGACCCCACAACACGAGATTCCTGTCCCCTGGTTATTTAGTCAAACACTAATCTAGGTACTGCTGTGAGGGGATTTTGAAGATGTAATTAAAGTTCTGCTATAGATTGTCCCCGGGCCGCCAAATCTGCATGGCGAAGCCATAGCCCCAAGCGTGATGGTAGTAGGAGGTGGAGCCTCTCTCCAGCACGTCCTTAGGGCTAGAAGAGGTCACGAGGAAGGAGCCCTTATGATGGGGTTGGTGCCTTTGTGAGAAGAGGAAAAGACACCAGCGCTCCCCCCTTCTCT